GAAGCAATTCGATAGACTCGAGATTGTAGTTTATTAACTTATTCTACTAATTTTTATTTTAGCATTATACTCATAATAGCTTTATGCGTTCTACTAAAATTATTAAGCCAAACCCAAATCATTTTGAATTTCAATTGAGTAAACATCTTGAGAAAAAGGTTCGAAATTAATATTTTTATTTTAAGTTAAATAAATTTTTAGTGGATAAAAGGAATAGAAAAATCAATTCCGATGTTTTTAAGTGTTGATGAAAGAAACATGCATATTGCTATTTATAGATCGGAACGAGGTATTTAATTATTTAAAGATAAAATTAGAATTGAATGAGATCGTTATGAATCAGGGATGGGGAATTTCGCTCTCGTTTCGTTTCGGAACGAAATAGGAAAAAATTTATGTCGTTTTGGGTAAAAGCGATAAATTTTCTCATAAATTTTCTTAAAAATAAATTTTCTCCCCCCCCCCCATTTCGTCCTTTAGTTGAAGTACGAAATGGTCAGTCATTTCTTTCTTGCATAAGAATGCAAGGAATCGTTTCGTTTCGCTCCGAAACGAAATAAAAAATTGTAATTTTCGATTCGAAATAAAAAAGTTTTTATTTTGTCCATCCGTGATATGAATCGTTTTTTGTCCCTCTATAAAGTTGACTAACATGCAATTATATTCTTTAATGTCTTAATCATTAAAATTTTATTTATGTAGTGTTCTGTTCAATACTTCCAAATTTTCCAAAAAATATTGAAGAAATGAAAATTGCACGTTACTTACTTGATCAACTTTTTAAATGTGCCTTTGAAACTGCTAGTTTTCTTAAAGCTATATTTAATCCACAAATGATTAAATTATTATTTGATGGAAATAAAACAAATATAAATTTACAAATTCATTCTGAAAAAGCTTTTATATTTCTTACAAACAATGACTTTGAAAAATTTGCATTGAATCATCTGATTTCTAATAAATTAACCATTTATTCTGGGAAACAGCAAAATATATTCAATATTTTAGCAAATGGAGCTAATAAATTTTCAACAGTTTGCTGTACTTATAACACCTTAATTCATGACCTTATTATACAGGTAAATCTTTAATAGTATCAGCGGTAGCTTCAAGGACATATTTGTTTAATTTTGGTTTCGACAATCAACCCTGAGATTCGAAACTCATACAAAATATAAATTTTTTCTACGATATAATATCATTCGGATTTGATCAAGCATAGAAAAGGTTATAGCGATAAGGAAAATTGAGGCGAATAACACAAGAGTACTAAAATTATAAACCCGTATCACAGGCCCTATCCATTCTTAGAGGTTTTAACCGATTTCTAGATTTAGTTCCAATTCCTCGGAATTTCTGATTCCCGAATAATTTATCAAAAAATTATTGAATTTTAGCATATAGAAACATCAAAAAACATTTCAAACACAGTGAAGGAAATTAAATTCTATGGTTTTATTGGACCTCTCCACGAACTAAAATCTACAAATAATCAGATTTCTAACAAATACAGTTTTTCAACCTACAATAAAGAAATCAATATTGACTATATTGATCAAAACCATAACAATGAGCCAGTTTATGAAATTAATATTAAGAGAAATAATTTATAAAATTATTCTTTATAAACTTTAAAAACTTATTTTAAATGTGTTCTTTTCGTTTTTTTATAAATATTATTTTTTAAGCTATGTTCTCAACCGTGTCCGGAGATTTGGAGAGTGGAAAAGTGGGGAGTAAGGTGACAATTGCGACCACTGAACATTTTTTTATTTCTAAATGTCAAAACTGACATTAGGAAATAAATGAGATTGCGGAAATTAATAATCATTAATTACATTTTTAACTTCACATCAAAACCTCTATCATATCTTTTATTATAAATAGAAAACTTGATTTTTGGATCATATTTATTGAAAAGTGTAAAGTGAAGGTCCTCATTAAGAAAACCTTCACTATAAGCAAATGCCCTATAGATTAAAAGACAATTTACTCAAAGATTTAGAAAATTTAAAAATATCTTTGCAATTTCGAGTGTCAACAAACTAATAAAAATTTATTCATTTTCGATTTTTTTGATTTGAATGAGATAGATTGAATCATCTTTCATTGCTTCATAGCAAAATGAAAATCTGACTTTTGGATTGTGAATATTGGAAAGTTGGTATTTTGTATAGTATATGTAATTTAATAGATCAATCTCAACATTTTCTGCTTTCTCGTTCAATTCAAAATTGTTGAGTGAATTATAATGATAGTCAATAGCAGCTACAATGCTTGAACTGTCTACTTCCGTCGATGTTGTTATATACTAAATTTTATATTAATATTATGTTATCCTTTTTAAATTAAATTAGCTCTGTAAAATTATTATAAATTCAACTAAAAGTTGAGAGGTAAAATATCTTGATAGTAGATATTTCAATTAGGCCTTTTACAAAAAATTTTTTTAATTTTCCCATGTTTTCTTAGGCCTTATTTATTTTCGTGTATTTTTGTTTACCTGTTAAAGGACACAAACTTGTCCAGGAAAAAATTTCTATTAGAGGCAAAAGAAACTTTTTAGAGTAAAATTTAAAAAAAAGTAAAGAAAATTTTCCCTAAGTGAAAGTCCTTAGGGGTTTAAAAAGTTTCGGTTTAACCAGAACTTGAGGACCAGAACTGGAACCAAAAAATCCCGGACTTCCGGCCTACCGAAAGCGGAACTTCCGGCGAAGCTCTATTATGTACTTAACTTACATCAACAAAAAGATCATGAAGCCTTGTCGTTTTAAGTCCAAAGAAACGAATTTTTGGAAATTTTTTGCCTTCATTTTTTAAAATATTGAATAAAATATTTGTACGTTTCTCTGAACTGCCATTCTCGAAAGAATAAATACTAAGAGTTACAGTAACAGCCAAATAATTACAAGCAAATTTAAAAATATATTTAATTATATTATTGTCAATAGATATAAAGGGTTTTTGAGTATGAAATTGTAAAGGAATTGTTTTGTCGTTATCAAATAATAAATTTATCATTTCTCGATTAAAAACAATTTTATTAAAATAGGCATGTTCAAAGAAGCATTCAAAAAGTTGTTTCAACCAAAAACGAATAATAATCAATTCTTTTAGATTTTTTGGAATATTTGGCAATTTTAAAATATAAAGGGTTTCTTTGTCAACTAAATTTATAAATGATTTAAAAAAGAGAATTAAATTGAAGGCTACTACTTATTTTTATTAAAAATCAGAGAGTTAATTTTATAGAAAGAGTTGCAAAAGTTTAGCCACCGGGCAGGATTAACCTGCGACCACCTGCTAGTTGTTGCTAGGGCTTTCGCTCACCATATGCAGGAGCTCTACCTCTGAGCTACCGGGGCATCGACTAATGCTTTCTCTTTTTCCTTTTTAGATCGTTTAACCCCCGCCTAAGCGTTTAAATGCTGCTGGGTGACCACTTGGCTGTCCCAATTTATAAATAACTTCATTTCAAAGTTTAGAATTTATATTAATTTATTGCAACAATTTTTATAATATTTTGAACCTATGCGAATAACAAAGTCGCAGACAAATCCAAAATCATGTAAAAACAACGGAACTGATTCATCTATTGCCGCTTGCCACTGAGAAAACAAATGTAAATTAATTAGATAAAAATCGCTTTAACCTTCTTCTTAAGCCGATTATTCAAATTAATTTCAAAAATTCCGGATTTAGATTTAATAATCGTATGTTTCAAGCTAATAGAATAAGGAGAGTTAATATCAATCTAAAATTCGTTTAAATTAAAAAATATAAATAGGCATTTACTATTTCGAGTTTTTTTTAATTTTACTCGTGCCAATTCACTCTTATATTTATTAATTAAATTTTTAAAATAAAAATTGGTTTGTTTGACGGAGGATAATTGGTTGAAATTGAGACATTTTAAAACATCAAGTTGAACTTCGGGTGGTAGTGAATACATTTTCAATTTTATTTTTTAAAAAGAAAAATATGTAGATTATCCAAATTTTATTTCTTAAATTTATTATTTAAAATTGAAAACGCGGGTTTATTGTAGAAACCAAATTCAACAAACTTTCAAAACAGGTAGTTAAAGAAAAAATTAATAAGCTAAGATAGTTGTTCTAACGCTATAAGGGCTATTTAGCTTTATTTATTGCTTAACTATTGAAGGTGAATAGCTTGGCATCAACTTTATTGAGTATAGGGGGGAAAATATTGTTGCGAGGAAAATTCCTTCATTTTATTTATTCCAAACTAGGGAAGAACACAAAAATAACAAACTTTATTGAATGTATGTATAGGGAAGACTAAACAATTTTGGGAGACTAAACAACCATTTGTTCGTATAAGCTAACGCTACAGGAACTCTTCAAGCGTTACTTCATTTGTGACCTGCAATTTTTTTACTAATTCCTTATTATTTACCTCACATTTATAATTTATTTATCTAAAATAATTAGTATATTTTTAAGATAATTAAAAATGTATTATCTACCAATTGAAGTTCAACTAGATGTATTAAAATGTCTTAATTTAAATCAACTAGTCTCTTTTAATAATACAAATTTTTATTTTCGCAATTTAATTAATAAATATTGGGCAGGATTAGCAAGAATGAAATTTGATAAACTCTCAATAGTAAATATAAAATTATTTAAGGAATAAGGAGGAGCCAGCTTACTAGAATTTTACCCGTTAGTTCAATCGTTAGAGTACATATATGATGAGCAGTGATGGAAGGGTTAAGTTCCGGTTCCAGAACCGGTGCGGTTCCAGAACTTGAACAGTGGAACAGGTAAGGGTCCGGAACCGGTTCCATAACCTGTTTCAAAGATACACTCCCTAATGATTGGTGTAAAAAGAGATGATGAGCAAAGCTTCTAGCAATAACCTGCATGAGATTGCATGATCGATGACTTACCGGGTCTAAATTACCCTTTACATCTCTCTTACTATTGGTTATTCCTTTTTATCTATTTAAGGACGACGTCACAATTCTCAATAAAATGACAAACTATAAAACCATCGAACTCGAGGCTGGAGTATTTCCATTTGCAATAAATGATAATCTCATCGAGAATGTCAAATTAATTTTTAGTTAATTAAGAATAACAATTAATTTTTTCAGTGGCAAACAGCGATAAATAAATCAATTCCTTTGTTTTTACATGATTTTGGATCTCACAAAGTATTTGCTATTAATTTGTATAATAAAGGGTTTATAACTAAAAGTCAGACAACAAACACAAATTTCATCTCCAGTTTCCTGGAAAATTTTCTAAATTATTTTCAATATAAAAAACCAAATAAAAAAGACAATATTCGTTCTTATTACTTAAAATTGCCCAACTTTCCAAAAAATATATCAGAAATGATTACTATTCGATGTTGGTTAGAACATCTGTTTAATTGTGGTTTTGAATATGCCGACTTTAATAAAATTGTATTTAATCCAGAATTAATTAATTTATTATTTGATAACGACAAAACAATTCCTTTACAATTTAATATTCAAAAACTGTCTCTAAATGCCAACAATAATATAATTGAAAATATTTCCAAATTCATTATAAATCATTTAACAATTTCCGAATCTCTCAAAATCGCTTTTGATGAGTATAACATTTCAGAGAAATATATAGATATTTTATTTAATATTTTAATAAATGAAGGCAATAAATTATTTCAAGTTTGTATCAATAGTTTCAGAAGTTATAGTTTGTCAGAGCTTTATGATCGTCTTTTTGAAGTATGTTATCTATTACAGATATGCTAGGTATAAAAACTAGCCGTCTTTTTCGTGAAAGGTCTGCGGTCCCTCTGAATTGCTAAATTTGTCTGAAAAAATAATCGAGAATTTTTCTTTGAATTATATGTATTCCTTGTTATATGTAGTTAAATGTTAATTAGAATGGCCAGCCCTAATTAAGAGAAGATGTTGATGGTGATGCGTGCAATAATAGATTTCCCGAGGATAACGCAAGCGATATAATAACTAATGGTATTGGTTTACAACTTGGCCAGTCTTAAACCCGAACGAACACTAGGCCATTGATTAATAGAGAACTAAGTTGGAATGAACATGAACTAAGCTGCTTTTTCCTATTTTTCTTTAGCTTATATGCAACTTCTCTCTAGGCGGGGTTTTACTTATTTCTCAAGGATTACACCTTTAAGACTTACATTATTTCTCATAGCTTAAATTTAAATTTTAGTATATAAGAACAACGACAAACTGTTCAAAAATGGTGCCTGTTATTGTGTTAGAATATTTATCTGCGTCAAATTTCGTTTTAAAAGAAAGAGCAAAAAATGTTCAAATTAAGCATTTCAATGGTGTAAAATATACAAAATACCAAATTACGAATAAAAATAATCCAAATGTGAGATTTTCATTTTGCGCCGCGGAGTGGAAATATGGAGTACCTTTTCAATTTAAAATAAAAATAATGAAAAATTATATGTAAAATTTGAGAGGAGATAATGAAAATTTCTTTTAATTTATCGTAAACTAATTACTTATTTAAAAGTATTTTATTAAGTTTATATTTTATAAATTTGTTCTGATCATTTTTAGCTGTTTCAAGCCTGTTAATTTATTTTACCAAGCTTTTATTTAATAAATATGTGTGAAAGAGTGTCCTTTTATTTTTTTAATTATAATTTTAAATATCTAAATAAATTTCCAAAAATGTATTAAGTTATGCTTCTCAGACCTTACTGGTCTGGCGCACTTTCAAAATTCCTGTTTACAGCTTTAGGGCTTTCAAAAAAATGGACTAAAACTTTTTCTTCGTTTGTTTTAATATAAATCATTCACTAATGTCTTGATGAAATAAAAAGGTTTTAAAAATATTGGTTATAAATGTTTAACAAATTTTTAACAGGTCAAAATTAAAAAATTTAAATAAATTAAAAACAATGTTGATGTATCAAAATATATTAATTAATTCTTTTAATTTTAACATCAGAAATGTGCTCATTGTTAATAATACTAAGCTCTTTAGTACAAACAAAAAATTTAATTTCTGGATTGTATTTATTAGAAAGTTGATATTTTGTTGATTTGAAATATATGTTTTTAACATTAATTTCAACATTTTCTGCTCTTTCACTTAAATCAAGAGGTCCGAGAATATCACGAAGTCTAATTTCTTTTACCATTTTAGAGATGTTTTTTGATGTTTCTATATGCTAAAATTAATTTACTATTTTAATTTTATAAAAATTTTATTTTCCAAATTTTATAAAGGAAAATTTAAAAATTTAAATATCATATTAATCATGCTGTACCCTATTTGCCAAATTAAATTCAGTTACGTATATTAAAAGACAATAATTAACGTAAATTTCCCAATTTCAACCCTTACATACGGAGTACTAGTGATGTTCGGGTATCCCGATCCTGACTCGGGAAAATTTCCCGAGTTTTTTATTTCCCTACGACCTTCCAGATTCTTAAAAATTTAGTCTGCAGCGTTGAAAATGGAAGAAATTTGACCGATCAGCCTTCAAAATTTTCGCCTGCGGCGCTAATAATGTACTGAAATTAGAGTGTGTTTCTGTTAGATGTTATTCTAATAGAAGATAGTTAAGAATTTACATTTACTGTTAAAATAGGCTATCGTATATTTTAAATTGAATAGATTGCTATTCAAATAGTCACTCCTATTTATAATTTTCTACCTGTATAATTAGGTTGTATAGTTTCAGATTGGAATCGTAATAACAAACATTAGAAAATCTACTTCCTCTATCTGTCAAAATTTTAAATAAATTATTCACACATTGCTCTATTTTTTTGACTCTGTCAATACTTGTGGTAACTTTATTAGAAATTAAATGATTCGATGCAAATTTTAAAGAATGTTGATTGTAAATTGTTAGTATGGTGTTCTGAGAACGAATTTGTAAAGGTATATTTGTTGTAGTATTTGCATCAAATAATAGTTCAATCATTTGTGGATTAAATATAATGGTAAAGAATTCAGCAGATTCAAAAGCACAGTTAAAAATTTGTTGAAATATATAACGAGCAATTTTCATTTCTTCAATATTTTTTGGAATGTTTGAAAATCGCAGAAAAATCTCTAAATTATAAAGATTCAAGGAATAATTTTCAGTTAGGGAAAAGGCAGTCTTTTTTCTGACCTAATCTTCGCTATGCAAAGTTAGGTCGTCGTTTAACGAAGACCTTTGTAACATCACAAAAACTGTTTGGCTATGGTCTAGTTCAGGAATGTCACGGGTTACCCGAAACCCGATACCCGAAACCCGGCCTTTTTCGACCCGATACCCGAAACCCGACCCGAGAATTTTTATTTTTCAAAACCTGAACCGAAACCCGACCCGAGAATTTTTATTTTTCAAAACCCGACCCGAAACCCGACCCGAGTTTTCTCAAAATTTTCGCCCTCGTCGGAGAAAAAGGGAAGATTTTTAGCTTAATGATCTTCCAAAATTCTGAAAATTTTCGCCTGCGGCGCTGAGAAGGGAAGATACCCAGACTTTTTTTCGACCCGATACCCGAAACCCGACCCGAGAATTTTTACTTTTCAAAACCCGACCCGAAACCCGACCCGAGAATTTTTACTTTTCAAAACCCGACCCGAAACCCGACCCGAGTTTTCTCAAAATTTTCGCCCTCGTCGGAGAAAAAGGGAAGATTTTTAGCTTAATGATCTTCCAAAATTCTGAAAATTTTCGCCTGCGGCGCTGAGAAGGGAAGATACCCAGACTTTTTTTCGACCCGAAACCCGATCCGAAGAAAATTTTGAAAACACGATCCGAAACCCGACCCTTTTGCTCAACCCGATCCGAGAAAAATTTTGGAAACCCGACCCGACATTTTTCGCAACCCGTGACATCCCTGGTCTAGTTTATGAGTCCAATCGAAATTTTGAGTCAATTTTTAAATAAGGCAAAATAAAATCTTTCAACAGTATAATCCCCAATTCCTTATTACAAAACTACATGGTAAAATTGTAAATCTGAAATACTGGTTTGGTAAAATTTAAAATTATCAATTTCCTAATAGATGATTAAGGACTCAACTATCAAAATAACTTTGAGTGGGGCTTTCCTTTAAAATGCAGGCTGCATAACGCATTTTTCTACCATTACCATTTAAGAACAAGTGTTTTGATTTTTCTATTCCACATTTCCACTAAAATTGGTTTATTTTAAAATAAAAAAGAAATTTAGGTAAAATTCTAGGTAATTCCTTGTAAATTTAGGTAATTCCCTGTAAAAATATTGAATAAGTTTCGGGTTGAATTTTTGCCTATGGTAAGTAGGGGAGAATTCTGTGAGAGCTGAAAAAATGAGAAAAATATGCTTCACAACTACAATTTCACCAAAATACATTTTTAACCTTTTTCTCGAGTTCATCACTCAATTGGAACTCATAAAGTTTGGGGTCCAGTTTAAATGATTCATAAAAAAGTAAATCGTTCTTATCAATATGAACCTAAAAATTTGTAGAATTACGTTAATATTAACAAATTACAGTTTTAATTTTATAGAACTTTTTCCGTGCCAATTCCTTCCCATATTCACTAATAAAATTTTTAAAGTAACAATTTGTTAGTTGAAGAGATAATAATTGATCATAATTAAGACATTTAAATATATCTAGTTGAACTTCTGGCGGAAGAAAATTTTGGATTTCAAAACGCTTCTTTTTCCTAAGCTTGACAAATAACATTTTTAGACTACACTTTATTGAATTCATTTTTATAACTAAAAAAGACAATTAAGAGTGAGATGGAATCTCGCGGAGGATTTTGTGGGATCACTCTCGAGCAATCCCTCACTTTTTTTTATTTGTTTGGCTAAATACACAATTTTTAGATCAAATACAGTATTTATAATTTGATGAATTTTTAACAAATATTGAAAATATAAATTATTATAAAAAATTAAAAATCGTGCAAAATTACTAAATATGAAATAACTTTTAATTTAATTAGAACATAGAATAAAATATCAATATATTGCAAAATAAGGTTGTTTAAAATAGGGTTGTACCCCGAACGCTCGGGGGCGGGTATGTCGGGGTACGGGGTTTTCCAATTGTTTCGGGGCGGGGTTCGGGTCGGGGGAGCAAAATATGGCCGGGGTTCGGGTCGGGGTACGGGGGTTTAGTGGAAAAATTTTTAGAGAAAAAAATGCTCAAAAATAATTAGAAATCGATATATTTTCGTTGATTTATTCAAAAATTAAGTAGGATTTGAAGAAATTAGAGGGGATTTGAAGGGATTAGAGTGTATAACTTGGGATATAAGTGGATCTAGAGGGATTAAGTGGGATTTTTAGGGATTAAATGGTATATCTAGGGATACAAGGTGATCTGGAGTGATTTTTGTTGGTTCAAGGAATATTTGTAATTTATAAGGATATTGATGTATTGCGGATAAGGGTATTTGGACGGATATCAGGAGATATCTTCGATTAATCCTTAAATTTCCCACGAAATCCTTGTTAATTCCGTTAAATTCACGTAATCCTTTCAAATCCGTTTTAATCTAAACCTTATATCCCTTCAAATCCATTTATAACTTCTTAATTCTTCGATATCCTACAAATCCGTTTATATCTCTGATTCCCGTTAACAGGACCTCGATAGTTTTCCAACTGTTATGGTTGAGAACTGGTAAAAAAAGGGAAAGATCAAGGTGGTTCAAGGGGGAAAGATTAAGGGTGGTTCAAGGGATATCAGTTAAAAATAAAATTAATATTTTCAAATTAAAATTTAACTCGTCAATAATTTGTTTTTGTAAAAAATATAAAAACAGAGTTTTCTTTATATGGATCCGAACCCAATCATATATTCAGAAAATATCGCTAAAACCAACGACTAAGCCACTCAACCACAAGTCTTATAATAAAAAAGGAAAGAAAATTATGATATTTCATTCATTTTTCTTTCAAAAATAATAAAAGCAAAGTAAAATGGGTGGAAATTTTTTAAATTTTCTTCATTAATTTCTCCAAAAAATGACATTTTTAGGGGTATAAAACCCCGATAACCCCGAAACTTTTTGGGCCGGGGAACGGGGTTTTCACTTTTTTTCGGGGCGGGGTTCGGGTCGGGGAGAATCGTGAAAAAATCGTTCGGGAACGGGGTCGGGGTTCGGGGTACGGGGTCGGGGTACAACTCTAGTTTAAAACAAAAAAGTTTTTACTCAATAAATAGTGTGAGGATGATTCATCGTAAAGATAGTGGTTAGGCGAGGTTAACGATCAGTAAAAGAGAACAGGTAGTGTTGAACCTGAGATGAGCACAAGAAAATAAATGTAAAACGCAACTCAAAGGCAAAAATCAACGGAAATAACGTTGATTTTTTCTTAGTATTAACGCTAATCTTAGACCTTTTTAAAGGTCTTTTACATTTGTTTTACTAAAATTCTTTAATGAGGTCTTGATAAAATATTAAAAATTTTAAAACATTGTTTATAAATATTTGATTAATCCAATTAAAAATTTAACAAAAACAATGTTGTATATATATTAAAATAACATAATTTATCAATTAATTCTTTTAATTTCAACATCAGAAACTGGCTTATTATTAATAATATAGACTTCTTTAGTATATATAGAAAATTTAATTTCTGAATTGTATTTATTGAAAAGTTGATATTTTGTTGATTTTAAATTCATGTTTTTTAAAGGTCTTTTACATTTGTTTTACTAAAATTCTTTAATGAGGTCTTGATAAAATATTAAAAATTTTAAAACATTGTTTATAAATATTTGATTAATCCAATTAAAAATTTAACAAAAACAATGTTGTATATATATTAAAATAACATAATTTATCAATTAATTCTTTTAATTTCAACATCAGAAACTGGCTTATTATTAATAATATAGACTTCTTTAGTATATATAGAAAATTTAATTTCTGAATTGTATTTATTGAAAAGTTGATATTTTGTTGATTTTAAATTCATGTTTTTTAAAGGTCTTTTACATTTGTTTTACTAAAATTCTTTAATGAGGTCTTGATAAAATATTAAAAATTTTAAAACATTGTTTATAAATATTTGATTAATCCAATTAAAAATTTAACAAAAACAATGTTGTATATATATTAAAATAACATAATTTATCAATTAATTCTTTTAATTTCAACATCAGAAACTGGCTTATTATTAATAATATAGACTTCTTTAGTATATATAGAAAATTTAATTTCTGAATTGTATTTATTGAAAAGTTGATATTTTGTTGATTTTAAATTCATGTTTTTTAAAGGTCTTTTACATTTGTTTTACTAAAATTCTTTAATGAGGTCTTGATAAAATATTAAAAATTTTAAAACATTGTTTATAAATATTTGATTAATCCAATTAAAAATTTAACAAAAACAATGTTGTATATATATTAAAATAACATAATTTATCAATTAATTCTTTTAATTTCAACATCAGAAACTGGCTTATTATTAATAATATAGACTTCTTTAGTATATATAGAAAATTTAATTTCTGAATTGTATTTATTGAAAAGTTGATATTTTGTTGATTTTAAATTCATGTTTTTTAAAGGTCTTTTACATTTGTTTTACTAAAATTCTTTAATGAGGTCTTGATAAAATATTAAAAATTTTAAAACATTGTTTATAAATATTTGATTAATCCAATTAAAAATTTAACAAAAACAATGTTGTATATATATTAAAATAACATAATTTATCAATTAATTCTTTTAATTTCAACATCAGAAACTGGCTTATTATTAATAATATAGACTTCTTTAGTATATATAGAAAATTTAATTTCTGAATTGTATTTATTGAAAAGTTGATATTTTGTTGATTTTAAATTCATGTTTTTTAAAGGTCTTTTACATTTGTTTTACTAAAATTCTTTAATGAGGTCTTGATAAAATATTAAAAATTTTAAAACATTGTTTATAAATATTTGATTAATCCAATTAAAAATTTAACAAAAACAATGTTGTATATATATTAAAATAACATAATTTATCAATTAATTCTTTTAATTTCAACATCAGAAACTGGCTTATTATTAATAATATAGACTTCTTTAGTATATATAGAAAATTTAATTTCTGAATTGTATTTATTGAAAAGTTGATATTTTGTTGATTTTAAATTCATGTTTTTTAAAGGTCTTTTACATTTGTTTTACTAAAATTCTTTAATGAGGTCTTGATAAAATATTAAAAATTTTAAAACATTGTTTATAAATATTTGATTAATCCAATTAAAAATTTAACAAAAACAATGTTGTATATATATTAAAATAACATAATTTATCAATTAATTCTTTTAATTTCAACATCAGAAACTGGCTTATTATTAATAATATAGACTTCTTTAGTATATATAGAAAATTTAATTTCTGAATTGTATTTATTGAAAAGTTGATATTTTGTTGATTTTAAATTCATGTTTTTTAAAGGTCTTTTACATTTGTTTTACTAAAATTCTTTAATGAGGTCTTGATAAAATATTAAAAATTTTAAAACATTGTTTATAAATATTTGATTAATCCAATTAAAAATTTAACAAAAACAATGTTGTATATATATTAAAATAACATAATTTATCAATTAATTCTTTTAATTTCAACATCAGAAACTGGCTTATTATTAATAATATAGACTTCTTTAGTATATATAGAAAATTTAATTTCTGAATTGTATTTATTGAAAAGTTGATATTTTGTTGATTTTAAATTCATGTTTTTTAAAGGTCTTTTACATTTGTTTTACTAAAATTCTTTAATGAGGTCTTGATAAAATATTAAAAATTTTAAAACATTGTTTATAAATATTTGATTAATCCAATTAAAAATTTAACAAAAACAATGTTGTATATATATTAAAATAACATAATTTATCAATTAATTCTTTTAATTTCAACATCAGAAACTGGCTTATTATTAATAATATAGACTTCTTTAGTATATATAGAAAATTTAATTTCTGAATTGTATTTATTGAAAAGTTGATATTTTGTTGATTTTAAATTCATGTTTTTTAAAGGTCTTTTACATTTGTTTTACTAAAATTCTTTAATGAGGTCTTGATAAAATATTAAAAATTTTAAAACATTGTTTATAAATATTTGATTAATCCAATTAAAAATTTAACAAAAACAATGTTGTATATATATTAAAATAACATAATTTATCAATTAATTCTTTTAATTTCAACATCAGAAACTGGCTTATTATTAATAATATAGACTTCTTTAGTATATATAGAAAATTTAATTTCTGAATTGTATTTATTGAAAAGTTGATATTTTGTTGATTTTAAATTCATGTTTTTTAAAGGTCTTTTACATTTGTTTTACTAAAATTCTTTAATGAGGTCTTGATAAAATATTAAAAATTTTAAAACATTGTTTATAAATATTTGATTAATCCAATTAAAAATTTAACAAAAACAACGTTGTATATATTAAAATAACTAAATTTATCAATTAATTCTTTTAATTTCGACATCGGTAACAGGCTTATTATTAATAATATAGACTTCTTTAGTATATATAGAAAATTTAATTTCTGGATTGTATTTATTGAAAAGCTGATATTTTGTAGATTTTAAATTGTTTTCAACATTAATTTCAATATTTTCTGCTCTTTCACTTAAATCAAGAGGTTCAAGGATATCACCAAATCTAATTTCATTGACCAGTTTAGAAATGTCTCTTGATGTTTCTATCTCCTAAAATTAAATCATGTATCCATGAAAAATCATTCTTTACCCGTATAATGCTATTATAAAATTTTGCTTTTATATGTCTACAAGAAACTACAGAAAATTTATTTCCCCCATTTATTAAAATTTTAAATAAAATCTTTCTATTTCTCTTTCTTTTGTTGAATTTCCAAAGATCAACAGTAAATTCATTAGAAATCAGATGATTTAATATAAATTCTAATAAACAATAATCAGAATCATTGTAGATAAATAGATGGGAAGATTGTGAATGAATTTGTAAAGGTATATTTGTCTTGTTTTCATCAAATAATAATTGAATCATTTGGGGATTAAATATAACTTTGTCAAACTGAACAAATTCAAAGCAACAATTAAAAAGTTGTTCAAGTAAATAACGTGCAATTTTCATTTCTTCAATATTTTTTGGTAAATTTGGTAATTGAGAATAGTAGGAGGCTAAATAAAATTTTAAAAAGTAGGAGAATAATTTTCAGTTAAGTCTAGTCAAACAGATTTTCTAATTTTATTATTTATTTATTTCTCCTGGAGAGGGAGAATCCATGCCCTACAACCTAACTGAAAGGTTTTTGGCATTGCCTGGAAATTACTTATTTTTGTACTAAGTCAATCCCTAAATATATCTATGACACTTTGTTTATAATTGACATGATCAAACTTAAGTTTTCTTTTTTGTTATTTATCCGGGAAGAGCGGTAATCCCGCCTCCGCAAATTTAACTGGAGTTTGGAAGTTTTTGACATTATTATAGTCTCAGCTACTTACATGGGTGATAATTATTTTGATTCAATTCACAAACAGCAATATTTATGCTTACATCAAAATCACATATAAACATTGGAATTGATTCTTCAATTCCATTCTTCCACTAAAATTGGCATATTTTAAAATAATGACATTCGGTTTTAACCTTTTTCTCAAGCTCTTCACTCAATTCAAAGTCATAAAGTTTAGGTTCTGGTTCAAATAATTCATAATAACTTGAACTTTCCTCATGGCCATAAAGCTAAAAGTAAATAAAAATTGTTAGAAAATCATAAAAATACAATTTCGAGTTTATCGAATTTTTTCCTCGCCAATTCTTCGTCGTATTCATTAATAAAATTTTTATAAAAAAGATTTGTTTGTCGAAAGGATAATAATTGATTGAAATTGAAACATTTAAATATATCTAGTTGAACTTCAGTTGGAAGAAAATACATTTTATTACAACTTTTTTTGTTTGAAAAAAAAATAAAAATCTGAACGTTGACGATTAATAATGATAAAGGTACTTTTCTGTTTTGTGACCGCACTTTAAAAATGTTTAAAAAGGGTCATGAATATAGACAAATTATATGTCATTCGAAAGAGCTCCTCGAGCTGTGCTGAGTCGAAAGACACTAAAATCACCGTGATTGAACAAGATTGCACAATGTTATGATCGTTTGTTTTAGCTTTACATATGCCATCCATAGGTTTATGTTGACCATTTTGAACCTTTTTATCTTGACTCATAATCAAGATCTCGAGCTGATTTTGGTGTCATTCGACTCAGCTCGAGGAGCTCTTTCGAATGACATATAATTTGTCCATATTCATGACCCTTTTTAAACATTTTTAAAGTGCGGTCACAAAACAGAAAAGTACCATGATAAATTATAAAAAAGAGAAAATTAAGAATTACTAGTTAAGTGAGTGTATGTCCAAAACATAATATCATTACAACATTTTTATATAAGTGATCAATGACCATAAATTTTTGGGGCAAACGTAAATTTATAAATGAACATACATACGAGAAACTACTTAATTTTTTAATTATGTATTATTTTTACAAAGTTTTTGGATCTATTATTAAGTTTGTATCTCCAAATATTCTATCATAATATTTTTTGGTAAGTTTGGCAATTGTGAATAGTAGAAGGAATTGGCAATCCCCAAATATTCTGAAAATTTATTTGAAAATGTTTTCAAAGTTTCCTACATTTTTTGTGAAAAATAAGTGTGCGTATGATGACTAATTAATAGGTTAAGAAAAATTAATTATGAAATTAAATCAATTATCTTCTACTCTTATCATTCTGGTTTTTTCTCATTTTTACAAAAAATTGTGATTTCTTTTCAACTGACTAAAAATATTTTCTTACTAAAAATTTTATAAAAATGAATCTTCTTCCAACTGAAATTCAACTAGATATATTTAAATATCTCGATTTCAATCAATTATCAAATATTCAACAAACAAATTTTTATTTAAGTAATTTTTTCAAAGAATATGCGGATAAATTGGCCCGGAAAAAATTCTACGGACTTAGAGATGTAAATTTTTAATATTATTTTGTTTCTACTAATTTCTTTAGGTTTGTATTGATAAAAGCAATTTAAATCAATATAATTTCTATACACCAAAACCCGAACTTTATGACTTGCAGTTAAGTAAAGAACTCGAGAATATGGTTAGAAATTAATATTTTTATTTAAAAATAGATCTACTATTTTAGTGCAAAAGGGGAATAGAAGAATCTATTCCTATGTTTTTGGGTGAAGATGATACAACAATAAAATTTGTTGCTTGTATAATAAAAGAAAGTCACGATTTCGAGCCAGGTTAATTTGTTATTTGAGGGCCATACTCATCCTTTTCAAGAATATAAACAATTCAGATTTTTATAAGAGGTTTTGGTCCGATTTTTGTCTTAAAAATTTTCAAATATATTTTGAAGCCTTTCCCATAAACTGAAATCTTTTCTTAAAATCATTTTTCAGTTGCTTGTTTTGCAGAGATCTATTTGCGATTTCCAAACTTTCCAAAAACTATTGAAGAAATGAAAATTGCTTGTTATCTATTTAAGCTACTTTTTAACAGTTTCTTTGGATTTGTTGAGTTTGACGAAGTTATATTTAATCCACAAATTATTCAATTATTATTTGATGAAAATAAAACAAATATACCTTTACAAATTCAATCTCGAATTACTCATCTATCTGTTTACAATGAATTTGATGACTGTTTATTAAAATTTATATTGGATCATCTAAATTCTAATGAATTGGCCGTTACTCTTGATCAGGACTCCAATATGGAACAATGCATAAATAATTTATTTAAACTTTCAACAAATGGAGGAAATAAGTTTCCTTATGTTTGTTATAAGTTTATTGATCCAAAGCTTTGCAATTTAATTATACAGGTTATTCGAAAAATTAAAAATTTTGGATTAAGTATAAGAGATTTTGTAAGGAAGAGAAAGATCTAGCAGGCTAGCATTTAAAACGCTCACTAGGCAGGGGTTTAAGATCTAATAAAAAAGAAGGTGAAAGAAGTGCCTCGGTAGCTCAGTGGTAGAACTCCTGTAAGTGGTGAGGGAAAGCGCCTAGCAATAACTGCCAGGATGTCGCAGGATCGAAGCCGGCTCAGGATTAAACTTTTATCTCGATCCTACTATTTTTTAAATCTGTTGTCAATTTTATTTATATAAGTTAGAAAATACAGTTATTTAGAACAATTTAAAAAATTTAATTTTAGCATATAGAAACTTCAAAAGATCTCTCTAAAATGGTGAATGAAATCAGATTCGGTCGTGTAGCTGGAGATATAATGATAAGTGAAATTGCTGAAAATATTGTGAAGGATGAAAGCATTGATGGTAAATCCAAAAAATATCAACTTTCTAATAAATACAATCCAAGAATGAAGTTTTCCATCTTTAGTAAAGAAAGTATATTTGATATATTAGGTTTTAATGTTATATTAGGTTTTAATGTTGAAATTAAAAGAATTGATTGATACCTCATTTATTTTGTTAAATATGTAAACATCAAAGTTATTTATTTTTCTACTCGTTTTAGAATTTGAACGACTACAACTTTTTTATGATTAATCCCAGACATATGCATGGACTCGGATCTTGCTATCCGTATCCGGATATTTCCGCGGATATCCGGATATTATCCATATCCGTGCATAGGTTTGATTAATCCTATCTGAATGAATCCCCAACCTACCGCCAATATTCTTTCTTCTTTGCCGGTCAACTTCCTCTGGAACAACTTTCATTTTTGTTGGATCTACCTTCTACGTCCTTGGAAAAACATCTCCAGACACTGGAACAACATCCCACGTCGTTTTGCCGTGTGAAAAACAGCTTGCCCTGTTCCTGGAACAACCCCTTCACATTAAACTGGTAGGTTGGGCTATCCGGATACGGATCCATGGACAATTTTCCCAAAAAATTCAATAATTTATTTTTAGTTTTTTTCCCAAAATAGGGTGTTTCATAAGTATACGCGCACTTATTTAACTAAAGATTTTCGACATCAGGGATGGTTCGAAAAATCCACAAAAATTCCTGAAAACATATCAAGTTCTATTAAAAGAAAATACAAAAGAAATGAAGTTCCAGTCAAGTCCCATGATTGAGATCTCGAAACCCGAAAATCAACGGAGACAATTATTGTTTAATAAAATATAAAATGACAAAAATTTCTAATTATTTTAAATTCTAACGGTTGATAAAAAGTTCGGAAAAAGAATGCCTTAGTAAGAAAAGGAAAGTTTCACTAAATAAACAAGGAAATAAATAATTATAAAAAATCTAACGATGGTAAAAAGTCCGGAAAAGGAATGTACGAAAAGGGAAGTTTTACTAAAAATCTTAGTAAACATACATCTTATTTTCAATTTTGCTTGAAAAAACAGCTGATTAAAGTCTTATAAATAAGAGAATAATCCGAACATAATAAAAATAGAAATATCTTTAAATTCTAATCTTAAAACCCCGTCAAAATACTAAAATAAAAATGTATTCTTCAACTCTTTGCTTTTTATTCGTAGTTGCTTTAATTGCACAAATTGTGGATTTGGCACCTCCACCTGCTCCTGTTGTTGCTATTGATCAGGTATTTTATAATTAGATATGGGGCCATGCATTTACGGAAATAATAAAAGCTACCTCAGGGCATACACTAGGTACTTCACAAAATTACAAAAGTACTCTCCCTAAGTACCTCAGTAATTCCCGAAGATATCGGGGCCAGATCTAATATCGATTTCATAAATTTATCTTAAGCCAAAACAATTTCGTGTTAAAAGAGCAAGATGCTACAACTACAACATTCGCACGCAAAAATGTAAAAATCCCCGTTGCCCAAGATGTCCAGCTTCTTCTTCAATGTCATCAAGAAATCCAAACATTGCTACTTGTTGTTATTAAGAAGGATTTCCTAATTTTTGTAAAATAATAAAAAGCTCTAACTATAAGATAAGCACAATAGTTAGCTAATGTTAAACAAAATATGAATTTTTAATTAAATAAAAAGTTATAATCTTTTAGCAAACTTAATTGGATATAGTGTAGTGTACCGGTGGTAAAAGTACGGGACGTGACATATGTCATTCGATTCGTCTCGATGAGCTGAGTCGAACGGTACCACTCCCTACTTTAGGAAATAATTCTGGACCGAGTTATAGGTCCCGAAAAATCGAAAAACCAAAGGGGGGACCAAGCACTTTTTTGGGATGAAAAATTCGAAAATGCAAATTATACCTCATTCGAAAGAGCTCGACGAGCTGAGTCGAATAACACCAAAATCACCGTGATTGATCAAGATTAGAAAAAGTTATGACACAAAAAACAAAAAACCTAAACCTATGGAGCGTCGGCGAGGCGCTTGTGCAAAACCCCGCGCTTCGCGCGGGGTTTTGCGGCACGCGCCTCGCGGGGAGTCTACGGGCGCTGGGTCTGGGCTCGTAACATAAACCTATTCCTATCTCCCTTGCTCTGGACGTATTTGGGCCTCCGTAGCAGCAAAAATCTCCATAGATGCCATAGGTAAGGAGCTAAAATAAAAGATCATAACTTTGTCCAATCAAGTCGGATTTCGTTGATTTTGGTGTTATTCGACTCAGCTCGTCGAGCTCTTTCGAATGAGGTATAATTTGCATTTTCGAATTTTTCACCCCAAAAAAGTGCTTGGTCCCCCCTTTGGTTTTTCGATTTTTCGGGACCTATAACTCGGTCCAGAATTATTTCCTAAAGTAGGGAGTGGTACCGTTCGACTCAGCTCGTCGAGACGAATCGAATACATATGTCACGTCCCGAACTTTTACCACCGGTACACTACACTACAGCCACTTAATTCAACAGTTTTATGGAAATTTTTTATGTCCGAGCTTTAATGTAGAAAACTAGATTCTTAGACAACTAAAAGTTGTTCCAACTCAATACTTTTGTATTAGATTCATCTCTCAGATTTACTGAACTATAAACCATATATAGATAATATAAATTTATCTTATAAAAAAGTTATCTTATAAAACTTTTATATTTTTAATTGTACATATTTAATTAATTTAAATATTTATTTTAAATATATTTGGTGGGTACACCCCAACGTACCGCAGAGCTATAACTCTGTTCAAAATGGTCGAATCCGGGACGCCTTGGTATGGTTCGATGCGCCTCGGTGAGCTGAATCGAACCATACAAGGGCGTCCGGATTCGACAATTCTGAACAGAGTTATAGCTCTGCGGTACGTTGGGCTCGCGGTACGTTGGCCTGCTCCCATATTTGGTGATAGTTTGGAAGTCGCCCAGCCTTTTGCCTTTTTATTTATTATTTTTAATTTTTTCATTTTATGTCAAATTATATATTAGAAAGAGGATGTTTCAAAACGTCATTTTTGTATTTTTTAATTTTTTAGAGACAGAGTCCCGATATTTTGGACAGCCCGGTACTTTGTTCATAAACCATCCCCAACCCCTATTAGAGTCTCAGACTAATTTTTATTTTTTGCCTCGGAATGTCAAATTTCCTCTATAAATGTTGATTTTTCCCTTTAGGTTGAGTTGTGCCATACCGTTTATTTTTTCCTTCATTCTTTGCGGGATCCCGTAAAATCCCGTAAATGCGATTTTGCCGGTTACTAGTTATATTCTAGAATTTAAAAACACAGCTAATTAAAAATTAAGCTAAGATTATTAACATTTTTGGTATTTGGAAAAGAGAAAAAATTGACTGGAAATATTTAATCATTTAATTCTTTATTCGGGTAACAATCCACATTATTTACATGAATCCATTCACCTGCAGGATTCTGCCAATACCAATTTGCTTTACTAGAACCTTCCACAGTCTGAATTTTTAATTTATTTTTTAGTTTTGATTATTCTTAATAGTCCATAAATACGTTTTGCCTACCGAAATGCTAATATCGATGGGGCAAATATAGCTTTGTTTAAATTATTACCCTGCAATAAAAACATGCTTCATAAGTACAATTTAGATTTGGGTCATTATCTTCAACACAGTCATTTCGAGGAAAGTGTAAACCATTAATCTTAAACAAATGATTAAAATAATTTAAACCTAAGAACAAACAATCATAGAGTGATTCCTCCTGCAGACTAAGCAAAATGCAGGTCCAAAGTGTGGATTTGCTACAACAAATTCTCCTTTTTCATTTTTCACAAATAATTCATAGGGAGTTTGCAAATTATTTGGATTCCAAATTGATTTACGCACTTCTATGCAATTTGAAGATTCTTGTGAAGGTGTAAGTTCTAAAAAATATTTCAATATTTATTTAGAGCTCTAGACTTTTTGCCCAATTGGTCTTTATGAATAAAACTATTCTTGTTCAATGAAAATGTATCAAACTTATCGAAAATTAAAAAGACCCAAAAAATCTAAAAAATTTAGGAATTTTTTAAATTTAAGATTCAACACCAAGTTTTGGTAGTTCTTATTTTCTCTTGTAAAATTAAATTACTTTTTGAACATCAGTTTTTTTCATAAAAACAGTAAAATTTTGGGAACATTACTATTTTCGCTGTGTTATTTTCTTAAAATAACTTACCGGCTTTGTAACTAATGTCGTATTCTCCTATCCAGCCCTTCATCATAATTAATACTTCAGTATTTTCTTCAGAACTAATAGTTAGAATTCTGTCATTTTTTGTGTCACAACAAATTCTAGCTCCTAAAAATGGTGAAAAAATATTTTTAAAACAAAAGATCAAACCAGTTGGTGTTTTATCTTTGAAATTTTTAATTTCAATATAATTATCTCGACAAGGATGACCACAGTTATAGCCTTTGATTTCTCTAACTTCTATTAATGTACGTTTTGCTTTGATTTGATTAGGATTCGTTTCTTTTGGCTAAAAATTAAAATTTTTTACAAATAAAAGCTTGATTTGATATTCGGACCTAATTATGGTATACTCTCACTGATGTATACAGGGTGATAAGAAAGTAATGGGGAATTCGATGGATAACTCTTTCTGATTTTTGGAGCCCTTAATAACAGAAAAGTTATGAACACTCCGCTAATCACTCGTTCTGGAATCAAAACGCTAATCACTCGTTCTGGATCTTACGCAAAGAGGTGAGAACTTTTATTCAAAATTTTCCTCGCGTCTTCAGCCCTGTATCCAGGGTAAGGGGGTGGGCATTCCGACAATTCTTGATTATTTTTGTTCATTGTTTAATTCTCTACCATATCTTTATCTGAGCTCATTATCTTTTAGTTGAATAAGGTTGTGTCATAAATAAGGTGCCCCATTACTTTCTTGTTACCCTATTAAGGCTGTAAAAATAATACATATATTTTGTGAAAAATCGTAACTAATTTAAAAAATAAAGTTAGCACATTATGTATAAAAAAATATTAGCTAATTTAAAAATTTTTTGAAAAATAGAGCCCCATGCCTGAAATAGAGCCGCTCTTTTGAGGCTAATTGAAGAAAAAAATTTAATTTTAGGAATTACGGTATATTCCCGAGTTTTTTATTTAAAATTCACCTTAATGACATACAAGCATAATTTGTATTTTGCTAATATACCAAATCCTTTGCGATTAATATATTGCTCTTCAATTTTTGCTTTTAACTCAGTAACCCAGCAATGGCGATCTAAACATTTGATATTGAAATTTTCCAAAAAAATATATAATTACATTCATATTTAGTACAATAATCTCCGCCATATCCTTCAGGACATCGACATTTACAACTTTTTAACGGGTCTGGAAATCCACCATTTCGGCATTTTCCATTATTAAATTCATATTCTTTTATATTACACCCAAAATTTATTGATTTAGATAATGTGGATGTATGTGGATATTCACGAGTGCCTAAAAAGATGATAGATTTTTGTTAATATTTATTGAAAAGTAGATGAAAGTTTTCGTTCACTTTATAATCGTTTACTTATTTCTAGTTTTAGAATTCAAATTCCAAACACTACTTTTCTTTGTGGATATGCATAAATGCGCAATTTTAGTTAAATTTTATCCTGAAACATAAATTTATTCTGTCTCTATAACTAAATAACTACACTTTCTTCCTATAAGATCAAATCTCAAACTTTTGGAACCCGAATCGCTCAGAACTGACAACCCAATTACTTACAGTAAAGCCTGTTTAGAAGTTTTATATCTTTAAAAGAAGGTTCATCTCGCTGTCCCATTGTATTTTGATATTCTTGTTTCAAAGCGACGATTGCAAATTTCCTAAACAAATAATAGAATATTCATTAAAAGTTAGTTGTATACTTTTTATCTAAAGTGAAGCTAGTTGGTGCATAATGCATGATTGACCCATAATCATAGGGCGTTCCAAAATACTGTGGAGTAATTTGATTGAAATTAGACCAATTAGTCTTAATTAAATTTGATTAGTTTATGTGCAAAACTGTTTCAAAAGCTAGCTTAAGACCCATGTTATAACATCGTGCTTGCCAAATTGTGGAAGAAATGCTATTTAAAATGCTTCCAAATTAAATAATATGTTTAGCGTTGGTAATTCTTAATGGATTTTCAATGAATTCTAATGGCTTTAATAATTTCCGAAAATTTTAATATATCGAGAAATCGCTAGATGATTTTAAAGCTAAATACATCTAGTTAGAGCAGCTCAAATTCAGTTAACTGAATTGAAATCGAGATTTAAAAATTGGTGACATAAGTGAGAACATATTTATTTTATTGTCGCTGATAGAAGAGTTCTTATAAATTATGGATGGGATCTTTTTAAATACTATGATTTTTTAATTTCTTTAACTTTTTCGCATGAATTACCAAAAAAGAAATTTTCAGCGCTATTTTTAACAGCATGCCTCCATATTTCAAAAATTGGATTGCTTAAATTAACTTTATTTTAGATAATTTTGAACATAAATATATTGTCCAAAATAGTTAGAATTAAACAAACCTTATTAATATTTTCATAATGAATCCAAGCATATTTTTTGCGATCAAACCTAGTCATTTCGTGTTCAAAACCTAATGCGTGCATAACTTCATGAATTACTGTTCCAACCTAAATAACATTAGATAAAAGGGAAAAATTGTGATTGAGGGCCCAGACATATACATATGTCAGCCGAGAGCTTGTTGGATAAGCCTATTGAAGTTGCAGCCCTAATTGTGGTCCAATACCCTATTTGTGGACTGTGGGGAAATGACTCATATCTAAGATTTATTTACAATCAAATAAATGTTTTAATTTATTACCGATCCACAGTAACGCCACGGAACATTAACATGATGTGATTCAATCTTTGTATCTTCTGATTTTGTTTTGCGATAATTTCCAACATGTGAAGTGCACCCATCGCCATGATATATAAATTCTAAATCATGAGCTGACCTTTTATGAACTTTCTCAAATTTCAAACACGTGAGACGACTAAAAGATGAAAAATTTTTATGAAAATTTCAGCAGTTTTAAAAGGAAAGACATAGTATATGTCGGCGGCAAAATAATTCTCACGGTGGAATTAAAAAAAGCCGGGAGATTTAAAATCCCCCTGAAATTGAAATTTGCCGCCGACATACATACAAATGTAAATTTTTATCTTGTCTTATAAAAATTTACACAATAATATCTTACTTTATGGCAATAGTTTAGAATTCTAAAAAAAGAGAAATTTTTCTTTTTCCCTTTCATTTTGTGATATTCTCCATTGCTGAATCCAAAAAAATATTTTCTGAAATTTACCTTAAATTTTTCAAAGCGTATTTTATTGTTTCTTTCCATTCCACTAAAATTTAATTAAATTTATTTGATAGCTTAAATATTTAAACTATGTTCATTAGAAAAAGCATAAATAACTGGCATTTTCCACATTTTCTGCTTCATTTCATTCTTCCCAATATTCATAAATTGTCTCTTAACACGAGTTTGTCTTTTGTTTTTACCTTTTTTACAACCTAAATTTTTATTATTGATAAAGTTATTTTATTCTAAATTAGTTTGTTTTTTCGTATCAAAAAATTATAGGATCCCACAAAATATCACAAGGGATCTCATAGCCAAAGTTTATTGTTTAAAAATATTATTTACATAAATCTTTAAATTTTTACATTTACGTTGGTCCACAATCATTTGCGCTACCTCCTCAGGTCTATACATAATATCACCAATAACAGTACCATCGGCATCTTCACAGCCATAAATCAATCCATCAGCATCGCGAGTTCCTAACAAAGAGTCATTTTTAACACTTCGTTTATCTCGAGATTCAGGAAATACAATTAATCGATCGTCAGTCTGAAAAGTCAACCTTTAGTCAATTAACATGAGGCATTTAATAATATATTAAGATGAGTTTTGAGCTTGATTTCGGGTTAAAATTCAAGTTCGTACCAGGGCTATGTGCCAGGGACTGGGCCATTAGGGCGCGGGGCCATTAGGGCGCGATCTTATAAAACAGTGAATTGCTTATCAAAAAAGATAAAATTTTGCAATAATTACTCTCATGCCTTTATCTACGTTCTCCAAAAATTTCAGCATTTTTGATCAAGAATTTCGGAAATTGTGGCCAAAAATGTTGATTTTCCGAAAAAACCCTAATTTTTCGCGGTTTATCGACTATAACTTCAGAAATATTCGATGAAAAATTCTGAAATTTCTGGAGCAGGTAGTCAATGATGTTAAAGAAATTTGAGAAAATTTTAATAAATTTCGATTTCGCCTAAGTATCAGTTTCTAGTGCTGGCGCCCTAATGGCCCCGCGCCCTTATGACCCCAACCCTATGTGCCATGATGTTTTAGCGTTTCGTTTGGAGTTTTGGCGTATTTTTTGGCCAATTATGGCGTGTTTTTCATATTTTGGCGCGCTAAAACGCCAAAACTTTACATTCTAATTATGACATTTTTTAAATAAATGTGGGGGAAATAATGATAAAAAAATGAATATGATACATCCTTCCTAAATTCTCAAAATTTTCGCATGCGGCGTGAGAAATAAGGAATATATGTAGGTATCTCTCTTGTATTTTACCTAAGTTCAGTCCCAATGCAGGTGAGTAGAAGTAATTAAGAGGATATTTGGAGATTAAAAGGAATATCTAGAGATTTGGGAAAATATCCGATTATTTGGGCGGGCTAAGAGGAATTTGCGAGGCTAAGAGGCCTTTAAAAAGCAGATCTGGTACTTATGTCTATAGTTCAAGTTTGGTAACGCAATTTAAGTTTGACAATTTTTAATAAAAAAAGGGAGGGGTAGTACTTGAATTTTACCGATTTCTGCTTAATGATGAATTACCCTATCGCTAATTTTATAAAATTATAGAAAATTTTACTATTTCTGCTGGACGAGGTTCTATATCGCAAGGACACTTTATACTTAGTTCCAAAAATTCATTAAATGCCTTTTTATGTTTGTTGTATTCCTCTAATCCAAGTTGATCACATTGGTTTGGACTGCGTTTATACTAAATATATAGTGTTTATTTAAAAATGTCTTAGTTAATATTTTTTAAATCATCTAAGAAAAGTTATATATGATAGTTTAATTGTTGAGCTGCCAGGGGTTTTTTTATTGTATGTGTTTTATTGAATTTAATATTATATAAATGGAGAACTTTAAATGAAAAAAACTCACACAACTAAATTCCTTTTCAACATATTCATCGTTTATCATTAACTCTATTGAACCAAGGCAGGATTTTTCTGGGACAGAAATAATTTCAAAATTGGTAGCTGACAAACGCTTTCCTTCTTTATTCATGTCGGGTCCGATCAATGCAAACGCGCCACCCTGTTAATGTTAAGGATAGAACAGATGCTTAGAAATTCTTCGAATGTCTTATTTTTCTTCTATTCGAACCTTCCTTTGAATAACCAAAACTTGACAAAACTAGACGAGGAATATATGTGTTATTTTATTACCGATTTTTCCTTTCTTTACAATCTTCCCGTAACAAAATTTATAATCTACCTCTTCCACAATTTCTTGAATGTTTTTATGCTCAAGATTAGCAAGAACAGAACTTCCATAATCATAAACATTTCCATTTATTTCATCAGCCAGAATTGCAAAATTCATTCCATTAGTTCCCAATTGTATTGAAAATAATTTAATATTATTTTCTGTTCTATTTAATATGCCGAGATAGGGTTCTTCATCAGGATAACTTTCAATTCTCCCAGTTACTTTAATTGTTTTGCCAAATTGAATCCTAAAGTCAAACATAATTTTACAGGAAAAAGTTCGGTATACGACATAGACGCCGATTAGGTCGAATGATATTTAATTCGAAAGAGCTCGGCGAGCCGAGTCGAATGAAACCAAAATGAGCTCGATTGGATGATTATGAACAAAGTTATGACCAACAGAATCTTCGCTGGAAAAACTGTTTTTGTGCTGCTACGGAGGGTACACAATGGCCGTGCTTCGCTTCGGTCGTGCTCGCTTCGCTCGCGGCGACCGTAGCGAAGCGGCGGCCGTCGTTCCGCTCGACATGCCCGGCCTCCTCCGCAGCGGCAAAAGCTTTTTTTCCGCGAAACCCTTGTGGAACAGGGTAAAAACAAACGGTCATAACTTTGTCAAATCGAGTCTGATTTAATGATTTTGGTGTCATTCGACTCATCTCGATGAGCTCTTGCGAATGAGATTTAATTTGCATTTTCGAATTTTTTACCCCAAAAAGGTGCTTGGTCATCCCTATGGTTTTTCGAACATTGTGGGGCTGTATCTCGGCTCACAGTTAAGTCCGCCTAATTTTGAAAATATGCAAAATTTCCCAAAATATGCAACGTTATGCAAATATGCACGAAAGGGTCGAAATATGCAAAAATATGCATTAAGAACCGGGTCCTAAGGTGCTTGGACAACTGTGCATTTGATATGAATATATAAATACAAAACATGCATTTGCATGGTTTGTCAGGCCATAATAATAACCTACGTTTTCTCTGAAAAGGAAACCCCAACTTTAACATTGACACCAAATTTAATCCAATAATTATCACTAAAATTTTTAAATCCAATTCTGGTCGCATAAACTCTAAATTCAATTCCGTGTTTTTCATATTCATCGTCATCTTTATTTGTGCTACAAGCCTTAGCGTAATCACTTTTTGGATTATTTTTTATCTGAAATATAATAAAAGATAAGTAAAGCTAATTTATGAATCATCAACCTGATCGCCAAATTTAGTATGATAGCAAAGCGTCAAATTAACCGAGTTCCAACTAAAAATTAATGGTACTTTTCGGTTATTCCGACAAAGTCTGCAACTTTTTATCCGCAAGTCATCCTTTCCTTGATGTAAAAAATGGTCAGACATACTAAATGCATGTTACTCTTCCTTCTTAATCTTAATTGAAGGAAAAATGACCGAAGGATGGAGTGATGGGGTTTTTGCTCAAAGCAAATGGACGGTATTTTATACTCTAGTGTGTGGACGGTATTTTTGTCGGTCGGTGATTTGCTCTGACACGGAATGAATGATGCCACAGGGAAATTTTATAAGGAAGAAATGACTGACCATTTTTTCCTTCATGAAAAAATGACTTGCGGATAAAAATTGCGGACATTATCGGCATAGTACCAAATTAATTTTTGTAAATTAATAAACATTCACTGTTTTTTTTAAATTAAACAATACCTTCTCATTATATTGGTTTCGGCCGATTTGTATTTACAAATTGCTGATAGATCGATTCCGGAATTTTCTTGCTTTTCTGCTTCATCGACATTACAGGCAAGATTTCTTAATACCGTCCAGATTTCAATTCGATTTGTAATGAAATTTTGATTTGCGAAAAAACAATGGCTTGTAGTAGTATAAAATTTATATCCATCAAGTTTTAATGTTAAATGGCAAGATTTTGATGGAAATTCCATCTCATCATAAAGACTACCCATATGATTCCACAATTCCATATCTAATCCAAGAAGTGAAATTGCTTCATTCTTTAAAGAGTAAAAATTATGGATATTTGTCTATATATATTGTCTATACTAGGGTTGAGCGGGATCGGGATCCCGGTCGGGATCGGGCGGGATTATCCCGGGTTTTTCAAATCCCGATCCCGATTTTTCTGATCCCGCTCCCGAAATATATATCCCGATCCCGATCCCGGCCAATCTCAATCCCGAGCCGGGATCCGGGATCGGGATCGGGATGTGCATCAGATCCCGATGAAAATCCCGACTTTATAAATTGACTAGAAGTCTGCGAAATAAAGTTAACAGAAAAGGGGAGGCATGAAAGTAAGAAAAATTTTCGCCTGCGGCGCAGAAAATGGAAGAAATTTGTCATCTTGACATCCCAAATTTTCGCCTGCGGCGTCGCAAAAATGAACGAAGCTCTCTTTACAACTTTAACGAAATACTGATGATTTGGTGTGATATCGAGGGATCAAGAAGGGTTGAGGGGAGTATCGGTGGATTTAGAGTATAGAGGGATATCGGTGAATTTAAAAGGATTAAGTTAGATTTGAAGAGAAATCGAGGGCTTAAGAAATATTACTACATGAATATATCACTTAATCCCTCAATCTCAGTTCTTAATCGTCCACATTAATCGTATAGACTTGAACGCACTTAATCGTATAGACTTGAACGTTTAACTTGAATGCCCTTGGCCTTCCAAAATTAAAAATATTGCCTGCGGCGCTTAAAAGGGAGAAAATCTGGCCCCCTAATCCTTCCAAATTTTTCAAAATTTTTGCCTGCGGCGCTTAAAATGGGAGAAGCCTAATCCCTTTTATCCCCCTCCCCCTACATACCTTATCCTCCCTTAATCCCTGAACCGGAAAGTAAATCATGCGTCTATGAGACATAAACTCTTTATTTCAGCACCGCAATAGAAATTTTAGAATTATATTGTGTCGTATGTGAAGAAAATAAAAATTTAAAAGTTTTTAAAAAATTTTTTAGTAAATCCCGATCCCGATTTTTCAATACCGGTCCCGATTCGGGATCGGGATCGAGATCGGGATCTCCATTCCAAATCCCGATCCCGATTTCGGCCAATCCCGATCCCGTGTCGGGATCCGGGATCGGGATCGGGATCACCATTCCAAAATCCCGATCCCGGGTTTTTCTCTAAATCCCGATACCGCTTAACTCTAGTCTATACACAATCAATGCTGCGTCGAAATTTCGATTTTCGACGTTTTTTCATAAAATTTCGATTTTTTTTTCGATTTTAGATTGATTTTCGTTTTTTCTAAAGAATTGCAATAATTTTTCTTAATATTTTACTTATTAAGAGAAAATCTCTCTCCTGTCTGTCTCCAACTCTAGTCAACCTCCTTCCACAAATTTTTTAAATGGACTTTGAAAAATATTTTGAAAGATGCCTTTGATAAACGACACAAAAATAAAACAAATTCAATACCCCTTCAGCGATCATTTGAAAACTATTTTCTTTGTGGCCATCCCTTTTGCTAAATAGCAGATTAATTCTATATTTTGCGCTTAACCCATAATCCAATTCTTTCCCATCTAAACCAGTCAAAGTAGCAAAGAATGTGTCTTCATTGCCTAGTTTAAGGGTGAAGATTGTAAAAGTTGCGTTTTCCTTTGATGGAGGTTCCATAAATCCGGTTGTTTTGTTAATCAGTCCAGTAATGGTCACAGAATTTTCAAAGGAGAAACTTAAAAATATTTAGTTTTTACTTATGTACTTATTGGATCGAAATCCCCAATGCCCCTTCTCACATCCCTTATTTTAGCCATTCAAATGGAGGGGCCATTCAATCAGAATAAATACGGTATTTTATTATCACCTTTTGTGGGTGAAAGAAAATCCAATTTTTGAATAAACATTATATTCAATTTTATATTCATTTTTATCATTGTCACGTTCGAAAGATTTCCTTCGAGCACAGACACGCATTTCTATGGAATGTTGCCTTGGTTTTTTGCATTTCTTCCCGAATCCATTTTCTTTATTTTTAAGCTGTTTTAACAAAAAATATTCTTCCTGCAAATTTTCAATAAAATACCTCAATACGTTCATCATCCCCTTCTAATTTAGAGTTATAGCATATAATAAATGTCGACCACATTTCCCTTTAAGTTTAATTGGATTAGTTACCAATTAAATTTATAATTTTTTACTCTTCACATTCCTCATTATAATTTCTTTCAAGAGTTTTACATCCTTTATCGGCATCATTAAGATTCACTTTTTCAAAGTTCCGTGGCAAACATCCTAACTCATAAATATTTGCAGATAACTGCAAAATATGAGGGTTGTAGTTCGCTTTCCTCTTATAAAAATCCTGAAGAAGATTAATTATTTAAAAGCTCAAAATACAGGGCTCTCTAATTTTGGGTACCCCGATTAAAATTTTTAGAAATTCTCTGATTTTACGCCTATTCCACTAGATGGTAGTATCTGAATATATAATTATTTCTCTACTTATTAACTGAAATGTTTGATTTGATATGAACTTTGCAAAACTTGAGTAAAAGTTTATCTAATCGGGCAGGAATCTACGACTTTGATGACAGTGCTTTCTAGGCTTAGTTTAGATCCTTACAAATGTTTTGTGACTTATCTAACACAATAGAAAAACTTATACCTCACCTGCGATCACCCCACACCCCCCCCCCACCCCCGAAAGTTCAACTTAGTCATTATTAAAAATCTAATATAAAATATTAAACTATACCACATCGACAGGGCATCTATTCATCATTTTCCAAAGAAATTGGCGATTAGATGGGTTTATTTTGAAGTTTTTTGGTTGTCCCAACATAATATCAAGCTTTAATGCAAAAATACCGGGATAATCATCAAGCAAAGGCATTGGATTTTTATCAGCATTAAAAAATTCTTTATCAATTCTACTAGCTGCTAAAATCCGTTCTTAAATAAAAATATTTATAATTTGCTGTAATTAATTAGAAAGACTCTCTAACCTTTGTGAGAGTTATCCTTTCCTAGCAAGTAATTGAAAAGAACCGATGATGTGGTATTGTGTAGGTAGATCCAGTCACTGTAAATTAAAGTGGGATGATAAAAATGGACGAGGGGGGGGGGGTATTAAATCAATTTGACTAGTTTAACTCAAATTAACTGATTAAAATGATGGACAGGATGGGGACTGTCAATTTAACAAAGAAATTTGTTTTCTTAATTCTTGAATTCATTACAAGGCTCATAGTTTGTGCCGTTTAACGTATTATTAACGCGTATTTTAGAGGAAGCAAAATAATAGGGATCACAATTTGTCGATTCAAAGTCAGCTTTTAACATAGAATCAAAGAACTAACTTTTTTAATTTTTTTTATTTACGCTTTAAATCGTTAATGAAGGATTGCAAATTTTCTCCTCAATTTAAAAACCTACTCTTTGAGGAATATATCAGCAAAAATTTCCATATCATTCTTTCCTTCTTTAAAAACCATCAGACCGTTCCATGGAATATTTTTAAGCCTTTCAAATTCCTTCGTTTCCGTTAGAGCGTTGAGGCAGAGTTGACTTTCGCCTTTTTTCGTCAGTTCATAGGCTTTGTTAAATTTCCAAGTTCCTTCCGAATTAGGAGAAAGTTGGCTGGGGTAGCAGAATAAAATTCTGAATTTTTTAAAACGTTAGTTTTCTAAAAAATTCTGAGGGTATTTTAAACATTTATTAAAATTAATTAGGTATTTACCCGCTACACCCAGCAACATCATTAACTGGCATCTTATCAGCATTAATGTCCTTCTCCATAATTACTTTAACAGTACTTACGGGCTCGAACATCCTGTCATTTATGGAGCACTTAACTAGAAAAATACGTACACAAAAAACCATTAAAATGGCCAATAAAGCCTGTAAAGGCATTATAACCATTTTTAATGAAAATCTAAAAAATGTTTTTTTTATTTCTAGATTTGACTCTCGTTACAACCTTTAATCAGGGGGAACCGATAGATAGGAGTATATAACTAATATGGCGTTATACATTAAAAATAAGTTTGGGGACTTTTATTAGGGTTTGTTAACTAAATAATCCGAGCGACGTTATGTCCAAGTTATAACCCGTGTCAATTATATGGATATTGTAAATCAGGTAAATAAATTTAAGTCTAAGAATTTATTCATTTATTAGTATAAAACTGCTGAGCAATAAAAAAATTTTTCCTAAAACTAAACTAAAATGAAAACTAAAAATACTATGTAGTAATAGAAAATTATGCACATAAATAAATTAATTTATAAAATTAAAAAAAGGAAATCAACAAAAATATGATTCAACAGATAAACGATTAAATAGCTTATAAATTTAAAATTCATTACTTAGATAGAATAAATTAACTAATTTTTAAGTAGGTAAAAATGCTTTAAATGGCATTATTATTATCATTATGACCCCAAAAAGGCATTATTATTACCAAAATTAAAAAAAATATTTTTTTAATATTTAACTTTGAATCTCTTTATGACCCCAAAAAAAGACTGGGCAAAGATGTGGGATTAAGCAAAGTGCCATTATAAACTGAGAAATACTGAAAAGAATTCTTAAGGCCTTTGATTGTGAATCAGGGCCGTAGAGTGGCTATATAATCGTTTATGTGACACTATATCCAATTATAGTTTAACTTGATATATAAACTAATTGATTTTTAAATTACAAATTTATTTGTCTAAATTGGTTAGAAATAGAAAAATAATTATTCTAGCACCAATATAAAATAAAAATTAAAAATGAGAGAAAATTAAAATATAAAAATTTAGTAAAAAGGGAATCAACAGTGTGTGTGGCCAATCAACAAAGTGTTGATGACTGTTTTATAAATTAAAAAAAAAGATTTTTATAACTAAATAGCTAAATATTTACAAATCAATGAATAATCAGCTTTTAATTTTCTAACTTAATTTTAATATAATTATTTAGTAGTTGACAATTAGAAAAATATTCTAAACATTTTTTAACCCAATTTCGAATTTTGCCTATAAAAAATAATTTTTTGTGGTCAACTGGGAACAGGAATTTAATTGGAGACTTAATTTTAATTTAAATCAATCAACGCTTTACATTTAAAAATTAACAAGTCTCGTTTTAGACTGTAGATACCTAGTGATAGTGCAAATTAGATTTTGAAAAAACAATCAAATAATAAAATTGAGACCAAATTCGGAGTAATTGATTAAATTAGAGGGAATTCTGTTATAAAATGAGGGTTATAAAAAGATGGCAATAAAAGTTATTTTTTTAATAAGTTCAGCAGAAAAAATATATTTAAAAATTGATAAATTAAATTGATAAAAAATAATTCAAAATACAGAAATAAATTTTCAATAAAATTCTTTGAGAATTAAATGTTTCGAGATATCATATTTAAATGGTTTTGTCTCCAAATCATTTCCAAAATTAGTTTCTACAGAACAACATTTCAAACCAACATGAGGTCTATCAAAATTTTCCTTTACTAATGTAGCTTTACCTTTAAGACTTATTGTTAAATAATTTTTAATTAAATATTTACCAATTTGTTTTCCATTTTGTGTAAAGAAAACATAAGGAAATTCTTCATTTAATTTATTTGTTGGAGGATAAACTAATCCACTTCCAAAAATATCATTATTATTGAAATCCGTTGAAAGATCGAACTCTTCACATTTCTCGTTATAAATTGTAGTATTATTTGCAGAATATAAGGTATAATTATTTTTATTACAATTTTTAAAACCAATATTCATCCAAACTGCCCACTTTTCTCTTTCAAATTTACATTTAACTTCAAAATAATATAAAGAATAATTTAAACAATTTTGTGGTTGTTTAAATGAATTTTCTGCACAAACACGAGCATACCTATCACAACCTAAAATATCTACAACAAAAATTAAATTTGAAAACTTAATTAATTTACCACCTTTCCCATCCAAACAATTAATATATTCAATATTTTCATCATTAATTATATTTACAAATCCGTTGCCTTTAATACAATTACCAATAGGTTTGTCTGTGTTTATACAATTATTGAAGCAACACTTGTCATACCATTTTATACCAATTTCACTCCATTTATTTTTAATTTTAACAAAATACTTTAAAAAATTTAATCAAATTAAAATAAAAATTATTTTAATATTAAATTAACCACACAATTAAAATTACAATTCACCGCTTTAGTCATATTACTTGAACTCTGAGTAAATTCATCATCTAACTCGTCAGAACTGTCGGCCGCTTTTTCGACAAAAAATTGTTTAATATCATTCAAAGTAGCAGGAACTCGGCAACAAGGACAATTTTGGAACTAAAAATGTTAAAATTAAGTAGTCGGGTCGAGGCCTCGTCAATGACTGAGGTTAAATATACATCCCTAAGGATTGACTTTTTTGTAAAAATAGAAGATTCTAAAATTGACAAAATTTTTGTCTGCATCGTTTAAGCAAGGAAAACATAAGCCGTTGAAAATTATTACTGAGACCCTCTACGTAACAGACATCGAACTTTTCGAACTGACTCCCGGTTCCGATTTTCGAGATTATTTCTCTGTATCGATTTCAAAAATTTTTGAAATTATTTTCAGTTTCGATATTCGTAGTTCATCGATTTACAATTTTCGAAATATATTTTTTAGAAACAGCTTCATCCTAATCTGCTCAATTAAATTAAAGCTAGTGAAGAACATGCGGAATAAAGCTTTTTATTTATAATTTTGATTATTTTTATATTTTTAAAATAACTTCCTATTTTTTGCCCTTTTTTGACTAATTTCGCCCTATTTTTGCCATATTTTCGAGAGGCTGCGACCTATTTCAGAGGTTTGGAAAAGGCCACCCAAAATAACTATTAGCATTTATTTAATCAAAAACTTATAATAATGTTATTTTGCTAATATTAAATTTAAAAAATTTAAATTTCCTCACCCCCTCAGTAATCCAACGAGTAATACAATATTGATGGTATGTATGATTACAATTTTTCAGGGTATAAACATTTTCATGATCCAATTGTGTTTGACAAACAATACAACAACCAAATTTGTAGGAAACCTTTTTTAAATTCTAAGAAAATTTAAAAAATGCTCAATATTATTTTAACAAGTTTGAAATTTGCATGTTTATACATGTGCTAGAGTTTAGGCTAGCTAGTTTTTTCGAAATATTTTTCTCAACTCTAAAGATTTTCAAAAATTTTTCTCAACTCTTGTCCTGGTATAACCCTCTTGTCCTGGTAAATCTTTGTAATCATCAATGGGATGTATTTAATAAATCTTTTTATTTGATAATCAGAAATTGTAACCAACCATAAGGGGCTCGAAAGTATTTTTTGTAATGCTTTACCTTCGTTTCACGTTGATTTTGGGCGTTACTGTTCTCGACTTTGTGAAGAGTTGGAAGGATCTTTTAAAGCCTATTTTTATTAGCTTCGATAGAGATATTAACATAATTTTTATTCATTTTTTTATTGGAAAGATACAAAATCCGAAGTTTTAGATGTCCGATTATAATTAGTAAACACACTTTACATCCCTTTAATGATTACAAACATTTTATATCCCAAAAGAAGAGACTTATCTTTAGAGTTAAGAAAAAATATTTCCAAAAAAATGGGTGGGCGGCGTAATAAAGTATATTAAAATTAAATGAGAATAAATAATTCTAATTTTCTATTTAATTATAGTAAACTAACCACATATTTACAATAAATATTCTTCAATTTAATTGTCATATCATTATTCTTTTTGTCAGCCTTTTTGAATAAATTAAAGTTAATTTTAAATTTAAAACAAAAAATTCATTAATAATTTAATTTACCAGAGAAAAATATTTTAATTAGAAAACACAATTTCTCAAATTTTTAAAGTCTTTACCTCTCTAATTTTTTCCTCCAAAGAATTAATTTTCACATCTTTTTGCTTTAAACAAACATGATTTTGTTCAATTAATTTTTGAAAATTTTGTTTAATTTCTTCAATTTCATTTTTGTGGTTAGAATTTATCTTTTCAATTTTCTAAAATTATTTTAAAAATATTCAAAAATAAATTCAAACTTTATTCATTTCCTTCAATTCATTTTCAAGTAAAAAATTTTTATTTTTAAGATTAATTTTTCTTTTTTTATTCCTTTTTACAGTCTTTTCACTCTTTTCAACAATATTATTTTGAATTTTAATTAAATCATTGTTTTGTGTTTCAACACTTAATGACCCTTCTTTATTCATTTTGTAGATAATTTCTTAAAAGATAAATAAATTAAAGCTAAATTATTAGTTAAAGGTTGAATAAATTGAAATAATAAGCAAATTAATTTCCTTATTCAAATAGAATGTAAGTCTGGAATGTATGTAAGTCTTTAAAATTTTTTAAAAAGAAAAACTTACTAAATTAGGATTTTTAAAGTTTTTTTAGTAATATGTATAATTAAAATTTGTTAAAATATAAACAATTTAAAATTTGTTAAATAATACATATTTTAAATTAATGCTGATCCACCACAAATAATATTTATTTCCGAAAAGTTTATATTATTTTTCTTAAATTTATTTTTAAATAATTTAAAACTTTTATCATTTTTGAATAATATTCTTTGATTCTAGAATATTTAAAAAGCAGACAAGAATTATATTTCTCTGAACTGTGTTTTGGTCGTTACGTGTTGACCTTTCTATGTTATGAAAAGACCGTGTTTTGCCCTTTACCCATAATTTCCTCAAAACATTTTCTTATCTTTTATTTTTAAAATATTCCCTCAACAAATATTCTATAAAAATAAATAACTTTCAAGTTCCTTAATAAATATTTTTACAACAGAACCGCCTCTTTGTGCAAAAAACCTTTCAGTATATAAATATTTTTTATTCAGTTACCTTTACCGACCTCGACGTAACATTTCTGAATTTAAGAAAAAATTGGTTTATTTAAATTCCACAAAATAAATCTTTTTTTCTATTTATTTTTTAGGAATATCTGCTTTAAAAAGATTTTTTAATTTAAATTTAAACAAATTTATTTAACTTTTTTTTAAAGTTAAATTTATACTTTATTAATCAACCACTCCAAACAAGATTTTCAGAAAATAAGTTTTAAAAAATATGAAAACACCAAAACAAATAGAAGAATGGTCATTCTCCACTGCCGATTCTGATAATATTAAAAATAAAATTGGAGATGAGACACTTGTGGAAGAACAAGAAAATTTTACAGAGAAAAGTAGTACTTTTGAGACAATTAGTGTTGATGGATTGTCAACTACTTGTACTTCTTGTTGTTTATCAAAAAATATAATTGAGGGTTTAAAACAACGTTTAAAGGAATTAGAGGTGAAAAATTATTTTTCATTGAATTACTAGAGGTAGATCTCACTTGTGCGACCTAGTGTCACTCTCACATTACTAAGTACAAATTTTCTTTTTGAAAGAAACACAGGTGAGATTCAACCCGGGGCATTGTACGACACTTTCAATTTACTTCGATATTATTTTACCTTTATATTTTTTCTACAAGAAGGTGTTGTAAAGTGATACTAAACTGAATTTAAAATAAATTTACTATATTTTAGTTAAAATTGAAAAATAATGATTTAACTTTGGAAAATTGTAGCTTAAAATTTCAAAATGCAAGTTTTCTTTATTTTTTCTTTCTCATCTACTTAATATTATTTTTAAATATTAATTTTAGAAAATCCAAAAAATAAATTCTGAACGTGAAAATGAAATTAAAAATTTAAAACAATATTTTCAACATCTGATTGAAGAGAATAATAAGCAATTAAAAGCTGAAAATGATGCTTATTTAAAGCAAAAAGATGAGAAAATAAATTTATTGGAAGAGGAAATTAAAAATGTAAATTAAAATTTTTTATTTATTATTTAAATTAATTTTATACAAAAAATACAAAGTTAGCCACATCCATATGACAGAAAAATCAGTTTTCAGCTTAAACCTTTTGTAGAATTTATAGAGATTTTGAATGATTCAGAAATTATTCGAATTGGTCGGAAATTAACAGAGTTATATTCTTACTAGAGATCGGACCACCGTATTACGGCCGTATTTTTCGGTATTTATCGGTATTCCGTATCGGTAGTACGGTAAAATTCCGATCTCTAATTCTTATGCTTAATCAGCTTTTCGGAAAAGTGTGTTTTTAAAGAAATATTTGAATAATTCTAGAAATTTTTTTGAAAAATATAATTTTCAAAAAATCCGTGTTTGTAATTTATTTTCTCGTTTCGTTCAAAAAAGTTTAGTTCGTTTCTAAGCAAAGTTAAAAAGGATTGAAAAAAAATTAAACTCAGTTATTTTATAAAATTTAATACATTTAGAAAATACAAAAAATAAATTTTGATCATAAAAATGAAATTGAAGAAGTAAAACAAAATTTTCAAAAATTAATTGAAGAAAATGTTAAACAATTAAAATCTGAAAAGGATGAGAAAATTAATTGTTTGGAGAAAGAAATTAATAAGGTAATTAATTTATTTAGTTTTTACTATAAATTTGATTACATTTCAAATTTTGATTTAGAATTAAAAGTAAATTTTAAAAAATATACATAATTTTAAATAAAAAATTCTTTTTAAAGTTGCATAATCATAGCGAAGATTTAATTAAACTTCGAACTGATTTTAATAATCTTGAATTAAAATCTATTGAAGAGAAGGAAAAGAATGTTAATTTAGAAAAGAAAAATGTTTTTCTTGAAAATGAATTGAAGCAAGTGAATGAGGTTTGGTTATTTAAGAATATTTTGTTGAAATTATTTTAGAAAATTCAAAAAATAAATTTCGATTATGAAAATGAAATTGAAGTACTAAAACAAAATTTTCAAAAAATAATTGAAGAAAATATTAAACAATTAAAAGATGAAAATGTTCGAAAATATGAGAAAATTAATTCTTTGGAAGTTGAAATTAAAAAGGTAAATAATTTTTTTCTTATAAAGAACTAAATTTGAAAAACATTAACAAAGTCAAGATTTAAAAAATTTGAAGCTGCAAAATGCCAGATACTCAGAATTGATTTCTTTGTCCAATTAAACATTCAAATTTAAAATAATTTAAGAGAAAATTATTTAATTTAAAGAATTAAAATAAATAAAAAATAATTTTTTAAATTAAAATTTTATTTAATAAAGGCAAATGATTTGATCGACAAAAAGATTGCTGATTTATTAAAAATAAATAATTTAAATTCTGTTATTAGTTTATTGAATAATATGGTATTTGTTAAAGTTAAAAATAAATGGAAAGAAATTGATAGTTACTGGAAATGTTGTGACAATAATTGTATAAATACAAACAAACCTATTGGTAATTGCATTAAAGGAAATGGATATGGAAATATAATTGATGATGAAAATATTAAATATATTGATTGTTTGGAGGGGAAAGGAGGTAAACTAGAAAAATATTTAAATTTTGAAATTAAAAAAATATTTTAGGGTGTGATCAATATGTTCTTGTTTATTCATAGAATTCATTTAAAAAACCAGAAAATTCTCTCAATTATTCTTTATATTATTTTGAAGTTAAATGTATATTTGAAGAAGGATTAAATGGTAGCCAATCACATATGACTATTGGTCTTCGAAATTGTAGTACAAACAATTATATTTATTATTATGCAAGATATGATCATATATATAACGGAGAAGTATCAATTAATCTTTCAACATCTTTCAATAATAATGATATTTTTGGTTGTGGATTAGTTTATCCTCCAACTAATATAACGAATGAATTTCCTTATGTTTTCTTTACTCAAAATGGAAAACAAATTGGTAATTATTAAAATAATCATACAAAAATTGTTTTTTTAAAGGTAAAGGTATAAAATTAGAGGACAATTTCGATTCATATAAACCTCGTGTTTTCTTAAACTGTTGTTCACTTGAAGCTAATTTTGGAAATGATTTGGAATCAAAACCATTTGCATATGACGTCTTAAAACATTTAATACTTAAAGAATTTTTTTGATTAACTTTTTGATTAATTTTTTTATTTTAACAATTTATTTTTTCATCAATTTTATTTTTCAATTAAATAATTACTCAACAATATTCATATACAATATTCAATTAATTCTTTATTCTTAGAATTTTTTAAATTAATTATTTTAGAACCTAAAAATGGATATTTACAATCGTTGTACTGTTTGCCTAAAAAGTTTTCTGCATGAGAATAATTAAAAAATTATTTTCGATTTCGATATTTTTGATTTAATTTAATTTCGATTTTCAAAGCTTTTTTGTTTCGAAACAGCTCTAATGCCCGCCCATTATTCCTAAACACATTATCTAAACATTTTGGCACGCGCCTTTTATTCTCTTTGACCACACACCCTTTTATCCTTCTTCTAACCTCATACTTTTCCTTTAATTGAACACAAATTCATTTTTTAATTTTGATTCTTTCCATTAAGTAAATAATTGGGTACTACTGAAGATAGGATGGCTTTTTCTGCGGACTTTTTTTGCGGACTTTTCCTTTCTTTTAAATGTTTTACTTGTAGCAACTAACTGTCAAAGGCGTGTCACGACACTTGCAGATATGACATTTGCAGACCCGACACTTGCAGACCCGACTTTTGCAGACCCGACATTTGCAGATGCCGACACTTGCAGATCAGACATTGGCTGTACTTTAGTATAGGTCCACCAAGATCGGAACTCATACCATATACCATTCGATTCGTCTCGCCGAGCTGAGTTCAAATATGTAAGAATTTTCTGCCGGAGACGAAAACTCGCTGAGATATGGGGCACCGAAAATCGAAAAACAATAGGGGGGACCAAGCACTTTTTGGGGGTGAAAAATTCGAATATGCAAATGATAGCTCATTCGAAAGAGCTCCTCGAGCTGAGTCGAATGACACCTAAATCAACGAAATCCGACTTGATTTGACAATGTTATGATCTTTTATTTTAGCTCCTTACCCATGGCATTTGTGGAGATTTTTGCTGCTACGGAGGCTCCAAATACGTCCAGAGCAAGGGAGATAGGAATAGGTTTATGTTACGAGCCCAGACCCAGCGCCCGTAGACTCCCCGCGAGGCGCGTGCCGCAAAACCCCGCGCGAAGCGCGGGGTTTTGCACAAGCGCCTCGCCGACGCTCCATAGGTTTAGGTATTTTGTTTTTTGTGTCATAACTTTGTCTAATCTTGTTCAATCACAGTGATTTTGGTGTCATTCGACTCAGCTCGTCGAGCTCTTTCGAATGAGGTATTATTTGTTTAAAAAATTTTTTATTCCAAAAATCGCCCCTTTGGATCTTCTGTTTTTAGGGGTCTATATCTCGGTCCAATCAAGTCGGATTTCGTTGATTTTGGTATCATTCGACTCAGCTCGAGGAGCTCTTTCGAATGAGCTATCATTTGCATATTCGAATTTTTCACCCCCAAAAAGTGCTTGGTCCCCCCTATTGTTTTTCGATTTTCTGGGGCCTATATCTCAGCGAGTTTTCGTCTCCGGCAGAAAATTCTTACATATTTGAACTAAGCTCGGCGAGACGAATCGAATGGTATATGGTATGAGTTCCGATCTCGGTGGACCTATACTAAAGCGACCCCCAGACATTTGCAGATCCGACTTTTGCAGATTAGACCCATTTCGCTTTCTTCTTTACCTTACCTATACACCGTGGTGTGTTTGCTGCTGTTGAGGAATCCTGGGATGCCCATCTCATCGATGATAAGAATAGGATCATGTTACGAGCCCAGAGCCCAGCGACCGTTGAACCCCGCGAGGCGCGTGCCGCAAAACCCCGAGCGAAGCGCGGGGTTTTGCACAAGCGCCTCGCCGACGCTCCACAGGTCTATGTTGAACGTTTTGTACCTCCGGAAAAAAGAGTGGCTCCGTTCGACTCAGCTCGTCGAGAAGAAGTGGTATGGGTCTTATATCAAAACCTTTCCACCGGTATACTATACTATATCCTTTGATTTTTTAAGATTTTTAAATTTTTTTCAAAAATTAATATCTGCAAAAGTCGGATCTGCAAATATCTGATCTGCAAGTGTCATATCTGCAAGTGTCGGTATCTGCAAATGTCGATCTGCAAAAGACGTCTGCAAATGTCGGGTCTGCAAATGTCATATCTGCAAGTGTCGTATGACCGTCAAAGGCCCTCCCACTATTATTTTTCTTACCTAAGATTGTACATAAAGGTCAGATTTTCTTCTTCCTCTCCTTCCTTCTATTTGCCCTGTGACATATTCAGACAAGAGACATTGATAAAGAGAAGATTATTTTTTTGCCTCCGAAAACAATTTAAACAAAATAAAAGAACTAAATAAAATGATTTGGTATATAACATTATGCATTTCTGTGTAAAAACATTACATTCGTACTTATATTTAAAAATATTGAACAACTAAAAAAATAAATTGAACTCAATATTGAACAACTCAATTAAAAATATTGAACAACAATTAATTTTAATCTTCTCTTTATCAACAATGCTTGTTTGAATATGCCAAGGTCAGAGGAAAGAGAGGAAGAAAGAAATCTGACCATTTTGTACAATCTTAGGTAATAAAAATAATGGGGGGGGACAAGGTTGTTCCTGTTCCACAATTACATATTCTTTTTCTATTAAGCATTCCGAGATCAGTGATCCATAGTTGAAATTCATCATCGGGTAATTGAAACTTTATAAAATAATCTTAAAATTAAATTTACAATAATTTATTTTTGCTGTTATTTCAGACTTGCATGCCTGGTGTTAAACGTAACGCAGTTCACTTCTCACCAGTGCAATTTGACAGCCAAAAGCAAAAAATGTCTTCTTCAGACACCTTTACCCAACTTGCTGACCAATTAGCAGCAATTGGTAAACAAATGGAAAGCAACAGTGGAACGGATAATGCGACAACAATGCAGCAAATGTTTCAATTTTGCACCACATTATTGACTCAAATGGCTCAACAACAAAATTTAATTATGGAACAACAACAAACTATTCAAAAACTTCAAATGCGTGACACTCTCCTGGAACTCATTGAAGATGAAAAACAACAAAAATCAGTCGTCATCACCAATCTACCCGAAAGTAATTGTGAACATGCTAAGGATCGTGTGGCAGCTGATTTTGAACAAGTTAAAGAAATTCTTGATGTCTGCGATGTGGAATGTAAACCAAGTCAAGTTTACAGAATGGGAACAATTACTGGAAGGCCGCGACTTTTGAAGGTGGAATTACCAACGAGGTTTTTTCCAAGAAATTTTTTGTTAAATAAATCGAAATTAAAAAATTCGAAATTTAATAATTTATTTGTTCGTAAATCTTTGTCTAAGGCTCAGCGAGCCGAACGGTCTAGGCTTATTGAAATTTGTAAAACGTTGCATTCCCAAAATCCCAATTCCGATCATGTTATTTATGCTGACCATGTCCTGTCCGCTAAGGACATCCCTTTATTTAAATCAAGCCCCAATAATTTTAAATGTGTTTGCAACAATGCATAAGGAGTAAGGGATGGCCACTTTGATACCTACCAGTTGACTAAAAATAAAAATTTTTCAAAAAATAAAATAAAAAGTGGTTTGATAAATATAAGATCAATTAGAAATAAAATGGATGAGTTTTTAATTAGTTTAAGAACACTAGGTTTAGAAATGCTGTTTATTACTGAAACCTGGTTAAAAGATGATGACATAAATTTATTTGAGTTCAAATTTTCAGAATACTATAATATTGTTTATATTAATAGAAAATCGAAACTAGGTGGGGGATGCGCAATACTATTAAGAAAAAATATCACATTTTATGAAAAAATTAAAATATCTAAATTCAACACAGAAATTATTTGTCTTCAAATAAATAATTTTAAAAAATTGAATATAATATTGCTCTATCGACCACCTAACACAACATACGCTAGTACTAAATCTCTTTTTAAGTATATTGAAACGATTTGTACTGAAAATTGTATAATCTTGGGTGACCTAAATTTTGGTCTTAGAGACTTAAGTTGGTTCAATTTTACACCTTATGCTAAATCTAAATTCGGGGAGTGTTTTATTGACTTTTTTAATAGGAATGCATTAACATCAGTCACACCTGGACGTACCAGAAATAATTCATACTTAGATTTAATAATAATTACAAACCATAATTTAGTTTCAGACATTTTAGTTGAAGGGGGGATCTTTTCTTCAGATCATGAAACATTGTTATTTAATATTAATTGTCCAATAATTAAACAAAATGAGAATAGATTAAAAAAAAGATTTTATAACAAGAATAAAATAAGCAATTTAAATTCATATTTGTCCCAATTATTAAAAAATACTATTTATACTGGGTTTCAAATTGGGGACAAATATAATATAATTGTTAATTCAATATTAAATTCGTTTGAAATTTTCATCCCCGAACATACTATAACCAAAAAAGATCGAAGAATAAAATATCCCGCCCACTTAAAAGCTTCGATAGCTGAGAAAAAAAAATTATACAGGTTACAAAAAATTAATAAGGAATATAAAACAAAATATGACAGTATATCTCTATATATTAGAATCGCAATAAAGAATTTTATTAGTAAACAACAAAACAAAATCATTTCAAATAATCCACTTAATGTTTATAAATATGTTAACAAAGTTTATAAAAACAATAGAGATATACCAGTTATATTATATGAGGATAAAGTCTATATAGAGAATTATGAAAAAGCACACCTTTTTGCAGAAATTTTTCATAAAAATTTTAACCACAATTTTAACTATAACGCTTCTCCCAATGATATTACTGCTAGCGATATTTCAGAAATTGCTGATGCATTAAATGATATAGATATAACAAGTATTGAAGTTTATGAAATACTAAAATCTTTACCATCAAAAAACAGCGCTAGTCCAGATGGCATAAATTATATTATGCTAAAAAATATTTGCATGATTTTGGCCCCTTATTTATCTGAATTATTTAGAGTTTCTTTGGATGAAGGCATTATACCACATAATTGGAAAAAATCAAT